ATCACTCTGTGTAATGTTTCTCTCCGTCTTCTTTAAGCTATACAGTGGGGTCCAATAATAAACAAGAAGGTTCGGACATCCGCAGGCGAGATGGACAGAGGATATGCAACGACATACGAAAAAAAAACTGGAAAAGTTATTGGAAGAATCCTTTGTCCAGAAGTGGATATCTAGAGGCTAAAAAAGAAAAATTATTATCTTGGTGACGTCCCTTTCTTGATATTTTCTATAATCTAAATCTAAGTTGACTACAGTTTAAAAGTTCAACGAAATATTTCATAACCTCTTGAAGTTGTTGAACAAACAAAAGCTCAACTTTTGACACCATGTATCTTGAAAACAAAGCATTTGGGTACCTATCCTTACATGAACATGATATCTTGTTAGCATCAGTACGAATTAACTTAAAATTATGCAAGGCGATTTTTGGTTACCTTGTATTGAATATGCGTGCGAAAATCCTGTTTTTTACATTCAAATCTGGCTTGCTTGATTTTTCAGATCAATTCAACATTAAACAGTTATTACAAGTGGGAATTGGTCTACCCAAAAATACATAGAATAGATTGGGTATCATTATTCTGACTAACACAACAAAGTACCAATTACTCTAACAACCACACATTTAGAAACACAAGTGGCTAGTAGAAAACAAATCATATACAAACGTATTACTCTACAGTAAAAGTTGGATAGAGTTGGAAAGTTTTCAGTGAATACTGGATGTTGTTGAAATGGTCAAAATGCCAAATATAAAGTAATGTAAGTGATGCTTGAGCACAACAGTTTACGACCCGTGGTTAAATTATTGAAACTGGTCGTATGGTTATGGACGAGTGGTGTTGCTACATTTAGTAAAAAAACAAGCCGGTCTGACTAAATTTCAGGAAAAGTCAGTAAAAAAACGTCTCCAAACATCAGTTATTTTTCAATCATTTTGTTTTTGGTTTGCTATTTCATGTAACTTTAATTAGAAGAATCATAAAAGCAAGTGTTCGCAGGCTCCTCAGAAGTAATAAAATTAATAGTAAAGTCATTTGAAACACTTTATTTGAATAATAAAATATAAAATAATATTTTGAAGGAGGAATTAAATTAAAAAGATCTCCATACACTAATATAGTCTTATAGCTTTATACAGGCAGTTTAACAGACTTTTACGATCTGTTGGAACGAACAATAGAAACACTACCTAAGCACCATATGCGGATTCTATGTGGAGATGCCAAAGTAGGAAATGAGCCCAACCTAAGTCCCACTATTGGCCGGCACAGTCTCCACGACATGTCAAACGACAATGGACAAAGACTAACAGAATCAGCGGCAGCGAATAACATGCTGATAAAGTCTACAATGTTCCCGCGCTGGAATGTTCACAAACAAACATGGGTATCAAAAGATCACGTAACCCAAGACCAAATCGATCACATCGTTGTGGATGCTCGACACGGAAGTAGTATATTGGATGTACCGAGCCTTAGAGGAGTGGATGAGGACTAAGACCACTACCTAGCAAGAGCTAAACTAAAAACTAGAATATCATCCCATGAGTACAACACACCTACAAAGGAAAAGAATGAGAAATGGAATCCCACCAAACTACAAATTAAAGAAGAACAAGAAAAGTACATGCAGGAAATAAAGGAGGAATTGGAGCAACCTATAGAACAAACCGACTTTGAAGGAGCACTCTGGAACACACAGTTACAAAGGGGTTTTCGAACGGGTTTTCGAAGGAAAAGATCAACTATCGACCAGCTTTTCGCCTTAAGACAACTTCTCGTGAAAGGATGTGAATTCAATAAGACAATACATAACCTTTTTATGGACTTCAGACAAACGTATGACAGTGTGGAAAGAAACCAAGTGTGGAACGCAATGGCGGAACTCTCAATCCTAAGGAAACTCATTCAGATGAGAAAACTGTGTATGGACGGTGGTAGATCCAAGGTCCAAGTAGGCAGCGAACTATCTGAACAGTTCGAAATACAAAACGGGGTTATGCAGGGAGATGCCTTCTTACCCCTGTTGTTTAAGATCGTCCTGGAAAGAGCTATAAGACGGGCGGACATAAAAACTGAACTCCTATCAACTGAAGGTCCCAAACTAATACTGGCTTATGCAGATGACATTGACCTGATCGGTAACACTATTCTAAGACTGAAAGAATTCAATAAAATAGATGGAACATCTAGCAAAATTAGTCTAATGATAAATGAAGAAAATACTAAATACGTGTGTGTAAACCGACTCGGAAGAAGAGACAGAATAGGACAAAACGTATCAATAAACATGTACAACTTTGAAAGAGTGGAACGTTTCAAAAATTTAAGTGCAACAATCACAGTAGATAACGATATCACCGAAGAAATGAAAGAAAGAATCCAAGCCACAAATCGATGTCTGTACTCCTTAAACAATCTCCTTAAGTCAAAAAACCTGACCCGGATATCCAAAGTAAAAATATATAAGAGTATTATTCAGGGACCCGGACCGGAACCGATATGGACCCAAAACCGGAACGGAACCGACCGTTTTTTTTTGGACCGGAATTGATATTTGAGATTAACAAACTGTTAGGTGCTGAACCAGAACAGAAATATTTTATTTCGGTTTTTTCGGGGTTTTTTCGGTTCTGCTTGTAACGTTTGAAAGAAATTACATATTACAAGAGCAAATGAAACTAATCCGTCTGCAAATGAATATGAAATTACGTTTCTGTGTTCTGGTGAGCGGCGGTGTACTATTAATGTGCCGACAAAGGGTCGGTACTTCTTTTAGTTAGTTCCTGGAATCGTTTTAATAGTCGGCGCCGCGACGCCGTCAAAGAGAGGATAACTTGAGTACTTAATATCCTACCGATTAATTGCCTCTCCACTGCGCAATTTGGAAATGACAAAGTTGGCATCCTTAACATTTACAAAACAAAAATAACTCTGCACGGTTAGAATCTATGCGCTTACTGATGCCTACAATTATGGGTCGAAAAATAACAAATGTTGCTCACGGGCAGTTTGACTTCATTAAAATAGAAGATAAATCTGTTTGCAAATTGTGTCAATAAAGGTAGGTAATTAAGTTATGTAATGTTTCTTGATAAGATATTGTTTGAGGAGGTTACGTAATTGTGTAAAATGTCATCATCTACCATGAAAGATTATATAAATAAATACTCTAGGCAGCCGGAAATTGAACATTTTAAGACATTGATAAGCGCAAAATTAACGGCTATATTACCAATTTTACGAATTACAAGGCTATATTACCAATTTTCCCCGTAACTGCCTGGCAATATTTCGTGTGTTATAACTGTTAATTTGTAAAACTGTAGCAACCGGTATCGTTTCATCACCAGTTGGCAAGATTTTATTTTTTGCAACTGGTTACGAAAAGTAGAACGTTTCGTCACTGTTATCAGTTTGAAAAAGTGTCAAAAGTGTTGACTTCAACAGTCAAAATTGGAGAAAATATTTTTTTTTACTACTAACCTGAGAAGTCACTATTATTTACTTTACTCATAAATATACAGGGTGTACCGTAAATATGTAAAAATATTTTAACAGCGTGTTCTTCAAGTCATTTTATAAAGGGGTTTTCCTAAAACATTTTTTCATTTGAGGTTTCATTGTTGAGATATTTGATTTTCAAAATGGCGGAAAATATTAGTTTTTGTTGTGTTTCTTTAAAACGGTTAAAACGTGTAAACTTCAATTTTGGTATACATGATAATCTAATTGAGTGCCATTATATGAACGCAAAGAAAACGATTTAATTTTTTTGCGGGCAAACTAGTGGTATTAGGAAAAAACAATGAGAGATAAAATGTAGGCAAATAATTTGTAGTATTTAAAAAAATATGCGGATAAAAGTCTATATGCACACAAAAAAGTTCTGAACAAAATAAAAGTATGGGTTCCACATTTCTACCCTATATAAAAGTAAACTGAACCACAAAACAGTACCATAGAATGGCACTCAATTAGATTATAATGTATACCAAAATTCAAGTTTATATGTTTAACCGTTTTAAAGAAACAGAACAAAAACTTTTTTTTCACACGTAAAACCAATTTTCCGCCATTTTGGAAGTCAAATATCTCAACAATGAAACTTCAAATTGAAAAAATTCTCAGGAAAATGACCCTCTAAAATGACTAGAAGGACACGTTGTTAAAATATTTTAACATATTTACGGAACACCCTGTATGTATAATATATGTCACTTTATGTGTCAAAACAATAAACTTAAATAATTAAAATTAGAAAAAAACTGAGCTTGTCTGGTAAAATCACGTCATATCTAGAATTTCTATATTAACGCACAAAAATACGGACGTCTGATGTAACTGTCTGATGTAACTGACTTATAATTCGGTGTCTACAGAATGTCTTTTTTAATATTTTTTTGTCTGTCTTTTTTAAATAATAAATTTATTAAAACTTTTTTTAATTTATAGGAATTCCAAATATCACGGGATCGTCCTTGTTTGTGAATTAAACTGTATCTATTATCTAGGGTCATCACACCACAAATTTAAAGAAACACCTTGTTCGATTACATAATTTTGCCGAAAATCAAGTAGAGACAAACACAAAACGACCATCAATCAACTCAACCATCTTTAAGTGATAGGAATACCATTAAAATGGATATAACGGAGAAACATCTAATTGATTTGAATTCACTTTAATGGATAATTCCGGATTTAAAAAAAGATTAAAGGAACAATTATTTGTGAGGACCAACCGACTTTTCAATCGAAAAGAACAAATACCGTACGTTTATACACTATTTATAAAATATTTTTTTAAGTTGAATTATTTTAGTTTTTCGATCACCAACAAAGCAACATTTGAAATTGAAATGTTGGACAAAAGCAACTCTTCAAAAGATGGTGAAGACATGAACCAGGAAGAACAATGTTTAAACGGAAATAAGAGGAATTGACGAAGTTGTGGACCTGAGTGAAAACGGAAAGAAGAGAAAAGCTCTAAGTCAAAAATTCATTGACAAATTACTTTTCAAAAATACAACTGTTAAATTAATTTTTGTATGGGAGTCTTTATTGCAATGTTGTTTCATTTAATGTTACCTGAATTTCAATCCTTGCGTGGGGTTGCTAGTCCTCCTACACTCCTACCATACAACCAGCCGAAGTACCGTATGAAGCAGTGGATCGTTTGCGCATCTTTTATCTTGTATAATACAACAAGCAAGGAAAAAGATAGTGATAGATTAGACTTTGTCCTCTCTTTGTCCTCGTTCGATGTTATATATACAGGGTGATTCAAAATTGGCGTCATTCCTTTTAAGGGGTGATAGAGGCTCACTTGGAGAGCACGAGAAAAATATAGAAAAATTTTTTTTCGAAAATTTCTAGAAGATGTTGAACCATTGTACAGCTGATTGATGTATAGTTGAAGATCGAATTTCAACTTTGTTATTAAGCATTATTTTGAAATTGTTCCATCTTTAATTGGTAGCATATTGAAATACTTAAGCACTCAAAAAGACAAATTACGATCTTTGCTTCAAATTACGAAAATTTTTGATGTAAAAAAAGTTCTCTTCTACAATTTTTTTATGAAAAGGCAGAGTGGCAATAAGTTTGTTTGTCAAGTATCTGTATCTAAAATACATAAAAAATATTGTCCTACCGCGGCATTTTAAGTTTTGCGAAATATTCTAGTTAAGAAAGTCACTCAAATCATAAATCATTAAAATCCCAAAAAATTTAGACTTGTGTATAGCAGCGTGTGATATTTCTTATAATACCGGTCACACGGCCGGCTGCATCCGGAGTCTCATTCGCATTGGCATACCGTTGTAAGTGTATCGTGACCAGCGACAATATTAAAATTATATAATTAGTATTGCCATGCTTTAAACAAGTTTAAAACTTCATCGAAATTCACGAAACTTCACCAGCCTTCGATTTTATTACTCGTAAGGAAACTAGCGATATTTACTTGCAATATTTTTTAAAAATAGATTGAAATATAAGAGAAACTGAGAAAAAAATCCAAAAAATTACTGGTGTATGGAGACTCTTTTACAGACAGTACATCTGCTATTAATAGTCGCAGAGGTGATAAAACATCGGCAAAAAGTGATGTGCGCTGTGATAACAGCAAACGCTCTTTATTTGCTTTCCACTAATAGGGTGTTTTCATTGTATCAAAAATTCCTA